AAAGGAAATGAACAGATTATTGATGGGCCTCATGAACCCTTTTTAATCCTTCAGAGTGTTTTCCTCTGTTCCATTGAAAACGGTTGTTCTTCTTGATTTATCAAATGCATTAGAAGCCTTGACACTGTAATAATTGTCTATTTATTCCACTGTTGTAAACACACACGTGAACCGGAACCTGTTCATCACAGCCACAGCGCTTTTGGTTTGGAAGTTGCGTTCACTTGCTGTGGGAAATATTACATAAGGGGAATTCGGCTCCTCTGGGACATCATTTTTTGGTTGCACTTTTGATTCTGCGAGTTATTCCGATATCTGTTTTTCAAATTGGATTAACGGATTATACTTTTCTGTAATTCCTTAAAATGTTGTCTTTGTAATGTGGGACACTAAAAAAAAACTAAATGTATTTAATCATTTATAGAAAAGTCAATGATCCATATTAACACATTAAAGTCTTTTTTTATATAAAGAACCCTAACCTAAATAAATAAACTGTAAAATTAATTTAAAACACTCTATTAGAAGTGTATTACATTATTCAAAAATCTTTAACCATTAACTCACGTTAACTTTCTGACAACTGCAGATCATCAACTACATCATTTAGTTTATCTTTGTTTTTTACTTCATGAAGTCCATAAATGTATATTTCCACCATTCAGAGATAATGTAAATGACTGTTCCAGATTACACGATTACTAACGTGCTGTCCCACATTATCAATCATGTCTGATTAAGTGGGACAACTAAAAAACAAACAAACTAAAACTCATTATAAACAACTCAATGCATATTTTGTTGCTTGAATAGATCATAAACATAATTTGATAACATCTAGGAACATTGTCTTATTTATGACAGATTTATATCCTTGACATTAATCTTGTCAGAATCCTATCTCTGACCTTGTCGTGTAATTCTAAGACCCTTTCTGTGACATTAGCCCCTTGAAGTCAGGAGATTTCAGTCACATGATAACCATGCTAACCTTTAGAAAAGTTCCTGATGACTAGATTTTGCTGGAACAGGAAATAAACAGACTGAAGCTAAGGTCCCACAGGACAGAGTAGAGGGTAGAAATTATATCTAAACTCTGTATGTTACTTTTAGTTTAATTATTTTCCCTTACACCAACTTTACAACATCAAAAATAGGGCTGACCCATATAGAGAAAAAAAATGTATCAAGATATCAGTCAATAATCGATAATTATCACAATCAATGATCACGATTCACAGTCCCATCCCACAAGCCTGACCCCAAATCACAATCTACAATCACTATCCACAATCAAGATCCGAAAATCAGAATCCACGATCAGGATCCAAATTCCAAATCCACACTCAGGATCAGAAATCGTAATCCATGATCCGGATCCAAAATCAGAATCCACGATCAGGATCTGAAATCACCTGAATTCTGAAATTCAAAAATCACGATCCACGATCACGATCCAAAATCCCAATCCATGATCCAAGATTCCTCCACGGAGCATCAATAAAGGTACATCTTATCTCATTGTATCTAACCGTAGTCGATTTTAGCTTCATTCGGGCTTTTGTGTGTAAAATCTACAACTAATATTTGTTTCACAGTGGAAACCATTTCTGAACTCTATTAGCGAAAGTCCGACTGTACGTGTTGCCCCTGAACGCAGCAGGACAGCGGATGTAGCAGCAGCATTCTCCAGCGGAGATCAACCATGTAGCTGAGGAGAAGACTCCTGCTCCTCACTCCGAAACAACATGTCCTCTCCTCCTCCTGCGATGTCCTCTCCTCCTCCCGTGTCTCTGTGAGCTCACCCGCCGTCAGGATGTGTCTGTGAGGGGAAGAGGAGCCGAGCACCGGAGCTACACGGTCGGGGGAGTCGACACAGGGAGACCGAAGCCTGATACCTGCCCTCGCCTGGAGATTGTGGAAGGGGACGCTCGGGTGGGCTCCTCCACTTATTAGCCGAACCCTGACGTCGTACCTCCCCGTGTGTTTTTGAAACAATGACTCCATCTTGGAGCGCGGAGCTGGGCATGTAACGCTCACGAACACCGGGGAGCGGGGACAGCTCGTCGTTCGCACCAGCTCCGTGTGTGACCGCGTTACCGCCCCGTTTTTTCCGCTCCGAAAGCGGCGCTAGCGGCGCAGCCACACCGGGGAGCTCGAAGACAACACGGTCGGGCGAGGGGGAGCGCACAGCCGCCGGAGCTCACGCCGCCATGGGGAACACCACCTCCTGCTGCGTGTCGTCCAGCCCCAAACACCGGAGGAACAACCACTCCAGGCTGGAGACGTACCGGCCGGAGCCCGAGCTGAGCCGCGAGGACACGGGCTGCAACCTCCAGCACATCAGCGACAGGGAGAACATCGATGGTAGGAGCCAGGGCATTTAACCCACAACCCCATTATCGTTATTATTGTTATTATTAGCTGTGAGTGATCCCTCTGCAGATTTAAGCTGCAGCATTAACACATCACGAGAACTTGCAACATCTGTGCAAGAGGACCCACCCATCCATGATTATTACACCAACAATAACCACAGTGCTGCTGGCTTCCCCCTTTTTAGGATGCATGTTGCAGATCAGCTGTAAGCCAGAGCTTTTCTAGGCTGTCAAATGAACAGGGGGTTCCCTAGTTCTGCACCCCCTGCCCTTTACTGCAGCTCTGATCTGAGAAAGAAAGGTAGTTTGGACCATTTTCAGATTCACTGGCACCTTCCTCCATGTGTGTGATCACAACAAGCGTCCAGGTTGGTGCCGCCCCTGAGCTAAACCTGTGAATTGTGTGATCTACTTTGTTTGGCTTCAGAATCTCTGTCTAAGATAAGATAATCCTTTATCAGTCCTGCTATGAGGGGGGGATTCGCAGTGTTGAAGAAGCATAAAGGGAGAAGTGAAAGTGTAATACACAAGAGATAAAAATACCAAATAAACACAAGGAATGGTAAATGGTCCGTAGAGCTTTTCTAGTCTGGATGGTCACTCACAGCACTCTACACTACAGTTTTGCTATTCACCCATTCACACACACAGTGCATCTATGTGCAGCTTTCTTTATAATATCACTTATACACAGATGGCAGCTGTCAGGGGCAAGTTTTGGGTTCAGTCTCTCACCCAATGGGGGAGACGGGGATCGACCTGGTGACCCGGTTAGTAGATGACCCGCTGGACCTCTCACAGCCATGCACAAGATCCTTTTCTCTAATTAACCAGTTTTTTGGAAGAGACAGCAACATTTTTCTTGTCGGTGTTCTGAGTCTTAATCAAGCCTCTGAAATATGTCAGGCACATGATTCGGTGGTGCCCGTCTCTCTGTGATAGGATTAAACTCAAGTGTAACAACATGTTCATTTCTGGCAGGTGGATTTGTGACCTTTGGACAGAACCAGGCGTCAGGCCTAAAGCTCTGTAATCGAAGACGTCCTGTGAACAAACAAATGTTTACATTCAGAATAGAAAGGGACCATAAAAGATAGGATGTGTAGTATAAACGAAATATACAGTATCGCACACATATGATTATTGCACAGTTTAATTAGTTGCTAACCTGACTGGGATAAAGTGCATACAGTCTGACAGCAGCAGGAAGGGATAACCTGTGATACCTCTCCTCCTGCAAACCACTCCAAAGATGGTTGATGCCACATCAGTCATAAAAGGTCTTCAGGAGCACCTCCCCTGTACTCAGAGAGTCCTCACTCTTCACACTACATACAGTCTGTTCACACCCCTCTTGTAAAGTGCTGCGGTATGATCAGTCCAGTCCAGTTTATTGTTCAGGTGAACCCCCAGGTACTTATAAGAAGTCAATATGTCAAAGTCTGTTCCCTGGATGTTTACCGGTGTCAAAGCTTCCCAGTGGCTGGGGAAATCCACCACCGCTATAGAATGTTTCCATCATTTTTTTATAGTACACAGGAAGAAGTTTGAATGAGTCTGACGTAACTCGATGTCTTGACCTTAAGATTGCATCTCTTCGCTGTGTGTTGGTGTGTGTGAAAAGTTGGGACAGCTTCTAGAAGGGTGAGTGTGAATTTGTGTTCCAGTGGGAGGTGATGTGATAATGATGGATAGTGTTTATGGCATGGTGTCCACTCACTTCCCTCGAAAGAACTAAATAGGATAAGACCGGCAACACATTGTAACCCTCATTCACGCTAACACTCTCACGTTGTGACATTTGCTGCACAATCGTGGATCAAAACTTTCGTATTTGCCAGAGAAAAAAATTGGGAATTAATTTGTAAAACTGATTTTAGTGTTTCACAATAGATCCTGTGATCTGTTATTAACCCAAACACTGGAAGTGTGTCTAATTGTGCATCAAAAAATAAGGAATACCAGTGATAAGTGAGGAAATGGGAAGTAGAGGAAGATAAGCATCCCAGCATGCCACAACTAGCAGGGAATTACCCGCAGCTTTGGAACACACGACACATGACAGGAACTAGTCCCGATGCTAGATGTTGGAGCAAACCCAATTCAGGCCGCGGCACGTCACCCGGTTTGGCATCACATCGTCTCAGCGCTCAAAAAGAGTCAGGATCATGGCTTTCGTTGCACAGTGCAGAGCACAAGTGGATACAAATAGCTCCTACTGTCCCTCGCAGGGGTGCGATGATGTCAGCCAAAAACAGGTCAAAATGCCATTTGGACTTATGTCTGTCTCACTTTTCTCTGGCGTGGCAGCTTTCCTCCCAAAGCTATGTTGCTAAGTGTAAATGATGTGCTGCAAAAAGGGCCAGTCAACCCCGCTGTACTCCTCCCTGTGAGGATTGGGCTCCCTGGAGTGAGTAATCAGGAAAGCCCCCCCAGGGTCTGAGCTGCGTCTTCTTCAGCCACTTCGAAATTGATGGAGTAGGCCTTGAATGAGTTGAGTGTGGGTTGGCCAGTGTGCAGTTTAAAGACGAGCTGGATGTCTCGTACCCATTTTCTGACACTTATTCTGATGCGGTTCATGGGTAGCACCAGGCTGAGCAGAGTATCCCAGATCATCCTTGCTCCTGCTCCTCTTGCAGTATGGGGTACACTGTGTGATCCCTCCTGGCATGTTTAGGGGCCTCGCAGGGATGGTCTCCTAGTTGGAAGTGTCAGGAATACTTCCACAGGGAGGTGTCCAGAAAGAATCCTACCAAAGTCTCCTTGCCACCTTAACCAACTCCTCTCGGTGTGAAGAAGCAGCAGTGAGCCCAGACACCTTACAAAAACTGAAGGAAGCTTAAGTTTGGTTTCTTCTATCCACAATTTCATTCTCAATCATTTCTGTTAGTGGAATTCATCGTATAGTTGCTTTCAGACATGTACCAAACTCTGAGGACATAAGAGTTTTTCCTGCCTGCCACCTAATAACAAGTGTGAATAATGTCAGAGTTAGTGAGAACGCAGCAGGATTATGTGAGACTGAAAAACAATTCCATTTTCAGATCGGTATGAAGCCGCTCATGCCACAGTGATTAAGTTCAGTTTTTTTAAAAATTCAAAATCATATTGAGAAGAAAGAATGTTAACTGCATCATATTTAACGTTTTGTTTTGTTATTAATGTATCACAGAACATCACATTAAGAATTCATCTTTTGCTGTCTTGTGAATGGACGATTGTTCAAAAAGACAAACACAAAGCTTCGGATTGTGTCTTTTACAACAAATGTAACAATGAAAGGAAAGGGAGAGCGAGAACAGGTTCCAAGCTGGTTTTTAGTGTTTAATCTATAGCTGTTTACGCAAGTCTTAAGGTGTTGACCCTTTAACCCTGTCACTGGACGTCGAATGGCATTCCACAGCCATATCCTGCGGAGTAACACGGCTTGGTCCGAGCAAAACAAACACTTGGGGAAAGTTACATGTTGTGAAGGTCATCACACCAAAGTCTGGCCATAGTAAAGAGCTGGTGAAAACGTGAGTACAGTGTGAACAGTAAATATGGATACGTGCACGGAGCTCGTGTGATGCAAGGAGCTTTTGTGTTTCTTTTTTTCATTTGGTTTAATCAGATCAAACAGCACGGTCTTATTTGCATCACAGTACATGAATGCTGGTGCTTGTGTTGTGCGTTTACATGTGGACACGTTTACCATGTGATCGCCCAAAAAGAAGGCACACAACACACACACACACATTGTTCATTGAACAGCTTTCCTCTGAGTAAGAGACTGTCTTTCAAGTTGAGCCGTTCACAAATCAGCAGCATAATCTGATTTGCCGGAGCAGTTCCTCGCTTTCGATACATTTCCCTTGTGTTCCTAACAGAATTTATGCATCAGTCAGTTATAGAGGCTGGAGATTCATGCCTCTTCTGACAGCTAATTTGTCTGTATTTATGCCTGTTTAGTCTGTCATGTTATTTAGGTTGTACCTCACAGCATGTATGAGCAGGCCAATACAGGGGCACAGGTCTCTCCGGCACATCAAGGCGAAGCCCATCACTCGTTCCAGACTGCGATAAAGACATGTCAACTGCTGAAGGGTAGTTAAGTTTTATGGTTGCTATCACAAAGGTTAAGTAATTGATTGCAGAGGGGAGGAAATCACTCGTGAAATACTCCGGTGGTTTGTGTGGTCACTGAGCGGATTCCACGGTCAAGATGCTTTCCAGGCTAAATGCATTCAATATGAAAAATGCATATGTAGTTACATAAAGGAGTTAAGTCTCTAAAAGGTCTTTTTAGATGGTGGATGTTGTCTGCAGGGATGTGCATATAAAGGTTTTTGTCAGTATGGCTTCTCACCGCAGCTGTCAGGATATCAGATTTACTTTTATTTTAATCTCTCTTAATAATGCTCGAAAACAAATTGTCCTATTACTGTTTTAAATTACCATTATTATTAATAGTGACATTGAATTAAATTCAGTTTGTATCTTCTGCATTCACTGCTTGTGACTCAACCGGGCACACACACACACACACACGCACGCACACTCTGACTGTCTGTGTGTTTGTCCCCAGCTGATACAGAAATGCAGCAGAGGAAATCATAGATTGAAAGTTTCTAAGTCCGCTTGATTTTCGTTTGTAGAAAAGATTTTCGGCTCCTAACTCTAAGCAGATGGACAGTCAACGGGAGAGAGTGAGAGCGCCGCAGGCCACTCACAGATGTTTCTGTGTTTCCCCGCTCTCGCAAAGACAGAGAGAGAATTTTGTGCGATCCTGTGTTTTGGGGGTATAGCTTTGACGAAAGGGCTGATGGGAGGTAGTGGGATTTAATGTTTTTCTGGGATAACCAACCCAAGCTCAAACATGATATCAATAATTCAAGTTTTGAATAATTCAATATTTGTCAATTGCAGGATACCGGGCCACCCGTACCTCTCACAACACAAAATGCCTGTTTACACCTTCTCTAAAACACCAAAAATAACTCTGCGTAC